ACTAAAGCCTATGCTGTTTCCTACACGATATATACCAGCGGAGTCCGTGACGTACCTTAGGACCGCAGATATCGTTATTTGCATAGGTGTCCAAATACTTATTGGTAGTCAGTGTATTTTCATAGAAATCCATCACGTAGAAGCCTGTGGAAAGCTGCCGTTTGCAGCGAAAACTGGATTGCGAATAATTAATCTATTCTCTGCAATACTCATTTTATTATGGGTAGTTAATATTTATAAACATTTTATATCATACTAATGGATATGTAAACATATATCATAAAGATCTTTGACAAAAATTAAGAATGCATCAGCGGTGTTTGGCGATGCTTTTTTTTTGCTTATTACGTGCTCCGCCCTTGGGCACTACACGAAAAGAGAGGGATGCCCCATGGAGGTCTTTTTAAGGGAAACGGGCTTGTATCCACGTTACACATGGGGAAAACCACGAAAACGCCCATGCAGTCAGCCCGTTCGTGGGATTCGAACCCCGGACCGAACTACCAGTGTTCAGTGGCTTTTACCTCTCGACCGCTGGCGACGATTTTCGCTTATTGAGATTATGTTATCATTGTGACACTAATGATTCATTATGTTTTAAGAAGTTATGTATTGTTTTATTATCTTTAGATAGATTTTTTTCAGTTTTTAAGCATCTAGGAATTTTTAAATCTATTAAAAATCTTAAATTTTTACATTCATGAGACCACGTTTTAGAGAAAATATTATTTGCCAATGCTTTTTTTTCGTGTTATATTGGTTTATTTTTGGAATTCAAATGATTTTCAATACACTAATTGAAATTTACTAAGAATTCTTTTAACATATTTTAACTGTAATTTTTATTCTTAGTTTACACAAAGTATTCTTTATGAAAATTACAATATTTCAAGAGAGTACATAGGAAAGTATTAGTATATGAAATATTAAAATAGAAGGTAACGCTATTTTTTATTCTCTTTGAAATGCTATATATAGTTTTTTCAGATAAACCATCTAATGATCTTAATCATCCACATTATAGGCCTTTAATTTTTAAGCACAAAGTTCAGGGCAGACAAACAGAAAAAGAAAAAGTTGCTTGTTTTCAGAGGTTAGCAAAACGTAAAAAAAAAATTAAATAAAGCTAAAAAGTCCCAAAATTGAGTGCTGAAAACGGTATGTTGTTAACTGCAAGAAAATTAAATAAACAAATAAATAAAACTAAAATTGTTCATCTATCTCTCAAAAATTAGAAGAATGACTCTCAAACAACAGTACAGGTGACAAAACCTTTAAAAATAACTTAACCTGACATAAAAATTAACTCATTCAGAGAATAAATGAATTCAATTAAACAGTAGGGAGTTGAAATACTGTATCTTCAAAACACAGCACATTAAGAAAGCATTTATGTACTCATATAAGAAGAATAAAACTAACACATTAACAGAATAAATGAAACTTATCTATAATAAATCTAACACATTCATAGAATAAATTAAACTTATCTGTAGTAAAACTAACACATTCACAGTATAAATGAAACGTATCTATAATAACACTAACACATTCATAGAATAAATGAAACTTATCAGTAGTAAAACCAACACATTCACTGTATAAATGAAACTTATCTGTAATAAAGATAACTCGTTTAATTAAACAGCATGGAATAGAAATATATATTCGAGGCATACTATTTTTAAAAGGCATTTATGTACCCATATAGGAAGAATTATAGGAGGGCATACGAGGAAGAATTATTTGAATCCCCAAAACTTGTTTAATGATACCAACATATACATCGGAATCTTGCGAAAACAAAAAGTCGCCAAGGTAGCGATAACAAAACAAATCTGGCAATTTTTGTATTAAAATTATTCTTTATTATTAAATATAGGAATATTCGTTGCTACTAAATACCAAGAGATTTAATTATAAATAAAACGTTAAGCAAAATATATGGAGAGTAAATGAAAACTTAAAATTAGAAAATATAGCTTGAAAAACTGCGAAACTCCGTAGAGAAACATTATACCGGAAGTAGACTTCACGGTTCCGGTTGAAGCATTGTTTGTTGTTGTTTGCATTGAAAACTTCTTCAATACATAATTAGCAGATAAAATTACAACCAGTAATTAATCATCATTCCTGTTTAGAATAGACATTGGTCTGTTACAGTTCAGAAGGTCGTTGACATTGTAGTGACAGATTTTTGATAACAGGGTTATCTGTCAATTTTTTATTTTCATAAAAGATTTTTGTCAAGCCGATAGTAACAGGTCTTTAGTAGTTCAACTTTCAGTTCCTTGTGAAATTTGTTGTTATGTACGTAATCATGGCAAATCTGTTGTCGGGCGCAGAACGCAGTTCTGTGCCGTTTGTGGTTTCTTTCTATTAGTACGACAAGAGTAAGCCCATATAGAGCATGCATAACATAATATTGGACGCAGGATGTATTTGTAAATGAGTAGCTTGTAGTCAATAGATAGCTTGTAGTCAATAGATAGAACGCTGTTCCGAGCAATTAAGGGAAAGTTGTGCTTTATGTGCTCGAAACTACTTATCTGAGGATTACCCCGAGATAAAGGACCTACTTGACCCAGGGAATACATGTACCATAAAATTTTAGATTTTCCTTGAATCGTTTCCTTTTTAGTGACCAGGCCGGAAACATTTTCCTCTGATATACGAATTTACCCTCTGTGTACCTTTCTTTCGCACCTAAACTTGATTTTTCGCTCTGCGGGTAGAAAGCCTTAGTGGTTGCAAAATAATACATCTGTCTACTTTGTCTGTCTTGTCTGTTTAAGCGGTCTTCCAGAGGCTTTCGATCTCGTCGTCGGGTTGGCTGAGGTGGTACTGTTCGTTATGGGGAAATGCGGAAATATCGTGGAGGTAGAGATGTTGGCGCTGTGTGTGTGTCTGTTAATAGCAGGTTTGTCATAATTTTTATTTGACAGGAAATATATATTTTATAGCAATAGTAAATGCGTGAGGAGTAACATAACTTTCATCAAATGATATTTTTTTTGTGTAGACGCGATAAATATATCACCATTTCCTCTTCAAAATGAGATTTTTGATGAAATTAATCACACATTATATTCTTCCGCATTTATAAATGTTTGTATGAAAAATGATAATCTGTCATTTCAGTAAATTTTTACATTCGCTGTATTATATTCATATGCATAAAGAAAGCTTTTATAAATTTCCTTAAGGTGTGGTCATCTCCAGCAGATCACAACCCGCCACGGAGGGGAGGGGGGGCGATCATTGGGACATTTAAACATCTGTCCACCACATTAAAGATAATTCTCTAATTTAGGGGTGAATTTTTTTTTTTTTTTAACTGAAATGCAGTGTTGAGAAAATCTTTTCTTGGGCTGAGGGAGGTTAAGTTATTGATAGATTTATTACATGCATACATATACTAATTAATAGGAATGAATATTGTTGTTATAGTACTTAACTAGATGTGTACTTACAAAGTTGTTGGAATTGAGAATCAAGATTTAAATTTGGTGAAGCCTGATATGATTTGTTGAATGTTTTTACTGCATGCTACTTATAATAAAAACATTCAAGCCATCAGGTTTTATGTTTACTGACACTTGTACAACCACTTATAAAATTTAAAAAAAAAAAAAAAAAAAGTTCTTGTCTGTCAAAAAAGCTGGTTTAAAAATGTTAGGCAAGAATCATATAATGTTAAAATTATTAATTAACATGTTTTTGGGCAGTATTTTATTTTCTCTCTTATTTAAAGATGCCTGTACATGTGTGTAAAATTTTTCTTTTGTCAGTTAAAAGTGCAAGTGGTAATGTATTTTGGCTTGTCCTCGTGGAAGCCTTTTTTGAGATAGAAATATCGGTAGTCATTTGAATCTGCTTTAAGCTCTAGGTGTTTTGATTCAGAAAAAGTTTGGGTGTAGAGGGAGAATTCAAAAGGAAGCAAGATGACTGTTAATACATGCTGTTATTAATTCAGTAATTTTGTAAATGGTTTTGATGACATTTTCGCCTTTAGTTCTTTTCGAAGCATAGTATAGTTTGAAACCAAAGTATTGTGTAAATAGTCTTGTTATATCTGAATTTTAAATTTTGCAAGTCTTCAGTAAACTACTAGATATTTATTTTAAAAAAAGGGGGTGTTGGGAAGAAAATAGAGGAGGTGATAAGGCCAATGAAATGTCAGAAACTTACTTGAACAAAATTTGCTCTGCATCCCTTTCAGAGTAGGCCCCTTCTACTTTTATATATATTGATTCCATCATGTGTAGAAAACCTCCTAGGATTTTTATTGTGGTTTGTGTAGCTTCCTGTGTGATTCAACCTAAATATCTTCTGCTATTATCAGAAAGAATAAGAGTTATGTAAATCAGTGTTCTGAATTGAAGTCTCGGACTTCGTTGGACAAAGTAAAGGGAGTGCGCAATGCAAGTTTGTGCAATTTTGGGATATTTTTTGAGTGAAAATAGGTTAACATGTACATAAGTTAAAAGAGTGCGCAATGCCATTTTTGTGCAATTCGAGGTTTTTTTTAAAGTGAAAATAGGTTGACATGTACATGGATAAAGTCAAAGGAGTGCGCAATGCCATTTTTGTGCAATTTGGGGGGGGGGGGGGGTTGAAGTGAAAATAAGTTGATGTGTACATGGATACCGAGTTTGTGCAATTGTTTGTCTTGTTATTTTGGCTTCGCAAGCCAAAAAAATGAGTCAAATAATTGCACAAAATCGGTATCCATGTGCCGCCAAAAATCGTCAAGTTTCGCCAAGGGGTACCCTAAACTATACTTTTACCTTTAATTCTAATGAGTATTCAAAATGTGGTTGATCTAATTCTTTTTTACACAATTTTAATATCACCTTTTTTTTAATATGAAATATGGAAGGGAAAGTAGATGTTAATGCCATTGGAAACAAGCAAAATGCTTATTTGCATGTAAATGTACCTATAAAATTTTGGCAAAATCTGGAAGTTATATTTTAATCTTTTCATAATTTATTCAGGTTCTGCTTTGGCAGAAAATGGAGTTTCTTCCAGAAGAAGTGAACGGCGACGAGCTGATCGAGGACGAAATGATCGGGATCAAGGTATTATTTTTATTCTTGCATCATATTCTGTGTCTGGAAATGATCCATTAATTGAGCTTCCAAAGAGTTTCATTATTTTATAAATGTATTATTTTTAAGTACTGTTGAAAATTAAGTATGTATTAATATGTTAATCTGAAAATATTTTTAGTTATTACTTTGGTCATTAATTTGATAATTTGTGTAATATTATCTAAGATTAATTCTCAATAGAGTGCATGCCAAAGGTTTTGCTTTATAACTTATATTTTTAATATGGTCATTTTATAAATTAAATATTTTATTATTCTGTATAATATAGTACGATGTTTAAGATCTAGAATCGTTGTCACTTCAGAGATTCTGGATTTCGGAAATTTCCAGATTTTATATTGTCAGTTTAAATCTAGTAAGATGATGTAGGTACAGCAACAGTGTAGCTTCTCTTATTGTTGTTCAGACAGAACGCTAACTCCCCCAATAGACTAGTATGGCAAAAGCGAGGCCAACTTATGCTCAAGGCCTGCCAGACTGAATGAAATTCTGGTTCCCATTTTTCGGTGGCTTTCGCAAAATTCATTACTGGGTGACGCTCGCATTCTGCTACACTTTTTCTATACATTCTCTATTTGTAATGTGGCTGGTTATTAACAAAAAGTGTAGGTTAATCTTTGGATTTTGGTAACTTGGCGAAAATTTGACAACCAACCCTGCTACAACAACCTGCTAGTTTTTTTTTTTTGGACGCCATTTAGTTTTCACAAAGTTAAGGCATATTTTTTTTAACATTTTTTTTTCCAACACTCGGCTAGCCGAATTACACTTATGCTAGAACTTTTATGAAACAAAAGTGCTTAATCATGACGAAGGTTAGGTGCGAAATTGGGAGAATGTGCAGAATGGCCCACTGCTTGCTGCGTTTTTAAGAATTCCACATACACGGTATTCATGTACACGTCGACCTATTTTCACTTTAAAAAAATCCCAGAATTGCACAAAAATAGTATTGCGCACACTCTTGACTTTATCAATATACTCTGCTAAAGTCCTAGCTAGTAACCTTTATCGCCTTAACAAAATGTCGCCAAACTACCTGTTACCATATTCCAAAGATTAGTCAAAGTGTATTTTATTAAAACGTGCTACTGTAACTAATAGTAACATAGGATGATATATTGTTGCGTACTAGTTTTCTTCCTTTTAAAAAAATTTTTACGATTGTATTTAAATAATTATTCACAACATATAACTGTTGGATGGATAGCATTTCCATCAGTTTCATGTAATATAGATTTAATACGAATACATAATACAAAATTTCTTAAACAAAAGCCATCATCACATAAAATTTTAAAGCTTTAAATTCTTTTGGTATGTTTCTTTCGCTCAGCTTTTGTATATAAATAAGCTTCTTAATATGTGTGTTATTCAGCTTCATTTTTTCTTCTTTCTGAAATAAAAGTATCATATTTGTTTTAGGGAATAAGGCTTTATTTTTTAAAATATGCTGTCAATGATATTGAAATACTTAGTATTCAACACTAGTAGTCTCAAAATTTTATATTCCCTCCGTCCCAAACTAGTTGCTAACCTTAGGTCGAAAGTTTTGTCCCAAATTAGGTGCTACATTTCAAGTAGGTGGAGTCGTATAAATAACTTTCAGTGCAGTTTAGTTGATGGAAATCTGTAAAATTATAAGGTGTACTACAAGGAATGTAATGCTGCATACTAGGTTTTCATTCTCGGTTTTTACTTTCCACAAATGTAGCACTTATTTTGGGACTATTTTATCGATGCAAATTTAGAGGGCTTGCACGCTGTTAAGCCACACCCCATTTTGTAAGGACCGTACTGCCCGTATTTCAGAAAGATCGTGTTTATGTGATTAAGGCAAAACCTCGAAGGTTGTCTGCTTAAGATGAGGGATGCCTTCGTGGAAGAATTTCTAAGGCAAACTTGCTCATATAGGCAAGACAGATCATTGAATTTACATTTAATTACCCTGAAGATTTTAAGCAATTACTGATGAAAGAGTCCTTACAAAATGGGGCGTGGCTTAAGGGTGTGCGAAAGCTGGATTTTTAAAACTAATTATGTACTGATTTAAGGAGGGAATGCTTGGTCAGTAAAGTTGTTGTTAATTGATAATATATCGCCCTGAAATTTTTGGAAAATGTGCAAACAAAATCATAAAATCTTCAGTATCAATAATCAGTACTCAAATGTAACAACTAATTTGGGACAGTGGGAGTATATGATTCATTGTGTATCATACATGTTGTTATTATACGCTGTAGGTGATATTGAAATACTTGGTATTCATCAATAACAGGCTTAAAATTTTATATAAGATTCATTGTGATTAATGTCATGTATGTCATTATTATATGCTGACGGTAATATTGAAATACTTGGTATTATTTTGAATATCTGTAATGTTGCGTTTACTCTTCAGAGCTCTAAATATGCATTATTTAAAATTTTATTTTTTTCATATTTTTTAAAGTATTTTATATTAATTAAAAAAGAAAAATCTTAGTACCTAAACCAAATAGCTTTTAGAAATGCTTTTTCTCTTATGTATAAAAAAAATTTTTATTTTATAATCATTTTAATTTTTTAATTACATATTTAATAGTGGCTCCAAATTATTTTGTTGTACAGGACAACTGATATTAATACAATGAAAATTTTGCACTGAAATAGTTTATGTTCTGAAGCTACCTGCTAACTTCGTACTATTTAAATAATTTAAAAGTAAAACATGTGCTCTAAATTACCCTTAAATTAGAATAGGTAAATCTACAAATTAAAAATAGCATATATCTAGATGCAGGCAGGAATTAAAATCAGAATCAAGTAGCTGAAAAAGAAATATATGAAAAAAGAAAAATGGGATAATTTGAAATTTCATGCTTTCTTTCTAAAATAAGAATATTTTTATTAAAAAGAAATGTATAATTTCTGACTACTACAGATTAATCGTTTTTAAATTTTGCATATAACAAGACAATTATTTGTCTCGGGTACCATTCTGTTCATTGTTAACGTCGCAAAGCATAGTGGAATAGTAGCGCCATTTTGCGGTCAGTAGAAATTTCACGGAGGCCACCGAAAACACAAAAGAATATTTTTACACTGGCGGGCCTTGAGTATAAGTTGTCCTTGGGCAAAAGTCGATGGTTGATGCGAAAACTTCAGCATTTTGAGGAGCACCAGGCATTAAAAATTAGGGATGGTAAAATTTTTAGGATGTAGGAGAGGCAGTGGGCAGCAGAATTATAAGGGAGCAAAATTTTTAGAATTTAGCGAGGTAATGGGTAACAGAATTTAGGACTTGCAGAGATTCCATTGAATGGCAGATACACAATGCTGAACCTACCTGCCCACAAACACTTAAGGGGTGAAAGTGTGACCCTGGCTATTATCTAGACATTGGCAAATCAGTGTATTATTATTGGCTATAGTGAGATTTCCTAGCCAGCAGTTTGAAAGTGACATGTAGAATCTCACTTGGGAGAAAAATCGTTTATTATATACCTGCCCTTTTTTCATTTGAGTAATCTTCATTTCTTGATTTTCTAAGGAAAGAGAAATTCTTTGTTTAGTATTATATTTATTTATTTATTTGCTGCTGGGTCAGAGGACCGGATATTAGATTGTTTTGGATACTGAACTTTCAGATTTCGTGCCATATAGGAACTGACTGCTAGCCAAATTGCGAACCTTTCATGTGTACTTACTCAAGAGCCCTCTCCCATCAAGAAGACTATGTTAATTTCATTCAAAAGTGTAAATGGAGTTTGAAAAATTATTCATTGTATGGTTTATAACCTATTTTTATGCTATCACTTTATAACTGATGATTCTTTTCTGTAAGAAGTATCCAAATTCTTTTTAGATTTTAGTGCATGATTTGCAATTGTGGCTATTATTTTTTATCATTGATATATAGGGAAATATACTTCCATTTGCTCTAAATTCCGTAATAAAAATAAGCCAATATTTAGAATCTCGAACAAAATGAATATCACCTTAAAAGTACATAAAGCAGATTTTGGTGAATATGGCATGTAAGATACAAGCATGCTTGTATTCTTATATACCCTGGGTGTCTAAACTTAGCCATGTTGCAAAGGAAAAAAAAATTGCGAGGCCACACATGCAATATTTTTTAACAAATTAAAATAAATTAACTCTGTGTTGTTTTATTAAAATAACTTCTTATTTTTTTAAAATTTGGATTAGATATGTATAGGTACATATTTATTATTAATTTGTAAAAGTTTCGTTTCATTTAGTCTGGATTTCATAAAGATGGAAAAAATTCAAATTAATGAGATGGAAAAATTTGCTTTTGTTGAACAAGCAAATCGATATTGGGTTCAATAGATGAGGTTGCAATTCTTAATGCATTTTCAAGATGTTTGTCAGTGATCTTTGTCCTATTTGTGTTTTTTGTATGCTTCATTTTTGAAAATAATTGTTCACAAATATAGGTACTGCCAAAAAGCTGAAGACATTAATAAAGCATGATTATGAAAATTAGGATATTTATCGCGGGATAGGTAATCTTTATGGAACTCCAGTAAAGTAACATTTTCAAATTTTTCTTTCAGTTGAATATCACTTTGCAGTTAATACATCAGGACATACTAAGATTTTTTTTAAAAATTTTTATTTTAAAATAAATGCCAATGAATCGATTTATATATGAATTAAATTCAAACATTTATTTTTTAATAAAAATGTGTAAATTTAAATACTTTTATAATTTACGTTTGGGCCGCACTAGGCAAATCAACAACCTTGTATTCGGCATAGATTTTGAAGTTCCCAATCGATTTCAAGGGTAAAACGGGTCCCCCTTCATCAGGAGCAAAAAATTTTTCAATAGCGAAAAAGTGAATGTCGATCATATTTATGCTGTACAGGTGACCAGTGGTAAAGCTGATAGTGCCATCTGTCAGCAGAAATATTAATGAAAAGTGAAGGGTTAAATTGGTAGAATTTTAAAGGCA